AGGCCTTTGTCTGCCTCCTCGAGACGAGGGACTCACCCCGGCTCGTGTTCACGCGCCGGGGTAAAAGATCAGTCTGGTCAGTGTCTGGTCGTGGGGACCGGTCTCTCTTTCTTCTTGCGGAGGTGCCGGGCTCAGTATGGTGGACCGGGCTGAAAGTTAGGATTTCGTTCATGAAAGAGGGATAACTGGAATCTGCGGCGCGCCCTGCTGCGGCTTTTTCCTCCGGGGGTTCACGTCGGCATCTTCATCACTATCGAGGCCGTCTCCGAAGCTGCCTCCTTTCTTTCTTTTCTCGCCGGGGCGAGTGAACTTCTTGACTTGCGGGTCGTCTATCAACTTGAGCAGCGTCGCGATCAAATTTCGGCATTGATCTGTGTTGTGTCCATGCGCCTTGTGGTAGGCGCAATACCGGGACTGGTCTACCTTGTCCTTATCGGTGAACATGGGTTTCGGGTCGGGCAGCAAGCCCTTCGCCTTGATCTCCTCATAGACCGCGGCGGCACCAACCGAAAAGACGCCCTGGTAGTTTTCTCTGAGTTCTTCCGCCCTTTGCTTCCTCATAGCCCGCATCTCGGCAAATGACTTGCTGGGTTTCCCCGACTTATCTTTATTTTTGTCCTTGCTTGACGTGGCGTCCAGCACCGGGATGGATGAGGATTCCTCAGCCATTATGTAATTTTGGGCTTTGGCGAGGAACTCCTGGTAGGTGGCTGGCTTGTTTTGGCACAAGGACCACTTGAACAAGGTTTTTGGCTTCAGCCCGGCCTGCACGGAGACGAGCAGGGTCTCGGGGTGGCACTGTTTAATGTTCTGGACTCGGTCGTTAAACCGAGCAATATAGTCTTTCAAACTCTCGTCCTCGCCCTGGACAATATTGGCGATTGATTCCTTGGGGGCCAGGCTGATCTGTGATCCGATGAAGTGCGATCGAAACGCCGACCTGAGCTGGCCCCAGGTGCAGATCGAGTGCGGATACAAGGAATGGTACCATCTCTGCGCCTTTGGTCCCAGGGTCAGGGAAAACATTCGGCAGCGTAGGGCGTCTGTCGCGCCGTGCAGGTCCATCCATGACGTGTAAAGGCCGATGTGAGAGTCGGGATCCGAGTTTCCGTCGTAAAGCCCGAGCTGCGGCACCTTGATTTTCTGGGGTACGGGCTCGCGCAGGATGTCAGGGGAGAGAGGGGAGGCGTGGTCCACGACTCGTGGAGTGGGCTGCGAGTAGTGAGGGGGTGATGTGCCCCTTGGGGGAGAGCGCCGACCCTCCAATTCGGCGATTCTACGCTTAAGGGCCGCGACTTCGTCCGCGTCACGCCCGATGTTCTTGCCCCGCTCGATCACGTCCCGGAGGTCGCGGTTGGCCTGGGTTTTGTCCCTAAGGCGTTGGTACACGGAGCGCCGTATGACCTGGAGGCTCCGGTCTGGCTGACTTTCGCCTGTCTGCTCCGTTGGCGCCGGTCTGGCGTTTTTCTCGCGCCTGGCCTGAGCGGAGCGGTTGGGCGATTGAGCCGTCGTCTTGGATTTGGCGGGTTTTTTCTGCTGTCCCCCGGCCTCCTTGTCGGGGGTTTGGAGCAGGGTGTTGACGGGATTTTCTGTGGCCGCCACAGTGTTTCCCCCAGGTGCCTGGCTCGCTAAGGCCCTGGCGAAGACCCCCTCCAGGGCTTTGAGCACGTCGGGGTGCTGTATGGCAGCAGCAAAGGTAGGAACAAGAGGAACGGGGACTTGGGTCCCTTGCTGGTTGCGGCGAGAAGTTTCTTCGCCGTTG